CCGCTAAAGAAATTGTTTTGCAGATAAAAATTCAGCAACCATAGGGACTGTGTAGGCCCGAAATCGGCAGCTAAAGGGACTGTTTTAGGGTTGTTTAAGCTGTCCTAWGGGGCTATTATCAAATGTTGAAARGTATTAGACATTAGGCACTCAAAARTATTAACCACTCTCACTCAYATACATAAACCACCTCCATTTTCRTAAGTGTAGTGCTGTACATATATCYTGTTTACATTAACATATAACMTGTTTCCATTTATCCTTTCTGTGTGATCATGGGATATGCAGTACATGTATGCATACATGATAATTTGAATTATTTGATGCAACATGTTAAATATCTGCATGTATTTCTATTTATGTGTAATTCTACATGTTAAGGAAACGAGAAGTAATCTATTATCGTAAAGAAGGGAGAATTGCTTGCTATAAGATCTGCTATTTAAAAGTAGATGTTGAAGGATAAAAGTTCAGTAGATCATAGGAGACATACACGTTTCAAATGCGCCATAGGAGAGTGCAAAAAAAATCCAAAAAGGCTAATCAACTCTTATTTAGATTGACAAGTATATCATGCATTTTTTGGTGTATGAATGTAGTGGTTATTTCTTAAAAGTTTGTTCCAATTTGGTTTCTTTGATTGTAGTCGCTGCTTGTGATCTGAACCCAAACTCACCAGCCAACTCAGAATTTTGCAGCTCATTTATTTCGCAGCTCAAGCGGCTAAGAGAAACTTTGTACGCAAATCTATTGTTTCAGGTGCTGTCTGTTTTAGCAATCTAACTTTATCAACATTTTTTGCATGTTTCTGAACAATTTCTGCATCTTGAATACCTTTATTAGTTGACAAATAAGATGGGACAAATGGTTGCATATGATGCGCTTTAGTGAGCACGTTTCTGAACAAATTTTGCATCTTGAATGCCTTCATCTTGAGGCCCCTAAGTTGTCTTAACGACCAATATAAATGTGATATGCCTTGATTATATGCACCTTATTCATGAATGGCCTTTGGTACTGTGAGAATGTCTAGATGTGCACCGGATTAACCTTCAACTTTATATATTAGTTGAATTGTAAAATAATCACACAAACTCATGATTCAAGGCCAGAGTAATGTTTCCAGATTGTGATTTACACGCGCTGCATCGCGCGGGTACACCACTAGTATTATTATATGTATTATTATCTACTATAATTTAAATATTATRACTTATTTTTTACATTTTCAATTTATAATTTAAATTGACTCCSACATAAATAAATACTAGAAGGGTACTTGCGCAATACAACAAGATACATCTTAATTTTAATGTTTTATTTTATWYWGTCTYYGTCGATGTTATAATACGATTTTATGTGGTATCGAAAAAACAATAATGTTTTTTATTTTTTGAATAAAATATAAATTTGAAGGTATCATAAAATTTTG